AATTTTTAATAATATATTTTAAATAATAAAAATATAAATAACTCTCTTATTATATAACTTATAATAATATAAATTAATGCATTTTAAAGGACTAAAATAGCTCTATTTAACTATATAAAAATATTTCTTATAAGCCTTATAATTAGCCTTATATATATAAGTAAAAAATTTACTAGCGTTTTTCCCTAATAATACATTTATAGGTATTTGAGAATGTAATGTATTGTATTTAAATATAATACATGAAAATACAATACAATATAAAATACAATACACAATACACTTGTATTTACTATATCCGTAAGAGCTCTGCTTACTTTATAGTTTATTTATAGAAAGACTTTTTAAAGCTTATTAGAATTAAAAGCTAAATATTAATTACCTTTTATCCCTAAATAAATAAGTAAATAAAACGTATAAATTAAACCCTTAAAGTTTACCTTTAAGCGTTCATTAATTATAAAATATTAAACTAAAAGAACCTACTATTAATAGTTGAATAGGTATATATATAAGTCTTTAATTTAATAAGTTTTACCCAGAGCATTGGAAGTAGTGTAGTTTTGTAGTTTTGTAGTTTTTGTAGTTTCGAATATAAAAAATTATATTAAATCTAATAAAATACTTATAGAATTATAAGTTTTACGAATAACTAGCATAAATCTAAAATTATAAGCTTATAGTAAGAAAAGTGGGTCCTTATATACTATTATAAGCCTAAAACTTCAAAAACTACATTTTGTAGTTTTTGTAGTGTAGTGTAGTGTAGTAAGTTTTTAGAAAACTATATAATCTAGTTTTTAAGCTTACAAAAAGCTAAAGGGACCCACTTTTTTAAATAAGCTGATTGGCTATAATATTAGCTATTTTATGTATTTATTATTATAATTCAAGTATTTTATTAGATTTATTATTAATTATTTAAGCTTTTTTAAAAAATGAAAATGTAGTTTTCTTGTTAATGCTCTGGTAACTATAAGTATATTACTATTTTACGCGAATTATAGGTTCTACCTAGTAGTTAATAACCCCCTTAAAGAGTAGCTATATAACCTAGGTAATAGACTTTACTTCTATTAAGTAATATAAGTATATAAGAAGGCTAAAAAGAGTTTTAATTAAAGTTAATAGAGAATTAAAAATTAAGCGAATAAAAAGCGTGTAAAGGCTTTAATTTATAAAGAAGAATAATTAATAATATTAAATGCTTATAATATTAAAATAAAGCAACCTATTAAGAAGCTAAATAAAAAGATACTTAGGCCTTTTAAAGTAATTAAGGTAATTTTCTTATTTACTATTAGATTAATATTATTAGCCTCTTAAAGAATTTATAATTCCTTTTACGTTTTATTAATTAAGCCTTATTAAGAAGATTCTAATAACCTATAAGCTTACCTAAATTAAATACATAGCGCACTTACCACCTCTAGTATCTCTATTCCTTTCATATATATATAATAGTTACCGCGCTCTTCATTTCTCTTAGGAAATTAAGGACCTTTAACACTATACCAGATTATCTCTGAATTGAGCCCTTGCTCTAAGCCCTCGTAATCGAGCCCTTGTCACAGCCGTCGGGTCGTACCCTTGGCTGCCCACCGTCCAGTATCGTGCATACTTTCCCGTCATTTATAACTGAACCTTAACTTAGGTATAACGACCACTCTCTAGCGTGTGCGCCGCACCTTTCCAGTGAGTACCAGCTGTTTTCTTGGACCTTATGAGAAACGGGCACGCTTTGCACTTGCACCCCCTTTTAACCGGGATTAGTGGTTATAGCGGGCCGCTATTGGCTGGGAGTTCAATAGTCTTTGGATTGTTTGCCTGTCTTAAGTTTGAGTAATCTTGAATATCCTTTAGAATAATGCTTAAAAGGTAATGCGTGTTTCATAGGTGATTAATCGCTTTATCTTCTAGTGTTATTAAGCGTTTACATTTTATATAAACCACTAGATTATAAGCTGCGCTTGTTTGAATGTGCTCCTTTATTATCGCTGTCCTTTCCACATGCTATAGACTGGTAAGCTGGAACACGGTTGTCCCGCTCCCTTAAGAATTCTCTTTTCTTGCTAGCCCCTTTTTCATATTCATCGCGTACTCCGACCCCAACTCTAACCCCGATCACGATACCTTAACCCTGAACTCTACCCGGAAATCAGTCTGAAAAACCCTGCCCCTTTACCCCACTCCCATCCAAATTTTGAGGGTATTCATCCTGAATACCCTCCTAGGGTACCCCCCTGAAGACATCCGGAATATGGCTGAGACTGGATTCCCCATTGTGATTGGAACGGGCCAATTTATTGTCACTCTAAGGAAGAGCCGGGGCTTATTACATCGGGTTGCCTGGGAAAAGAGAGTCTGCCGCTGCGATTGAGAGTATATTTGCGGGAGGGCGTGTGCTCCCAGGCTTTCTCATCCTTTCGGGGCAGATGCCGAGTGGTCATGGTGTGCCCAACCCCGTTCCAACAATCACAAGAACGCAACAATGAGTCAATAAGATTAAGAATAGATTATTACATAACCCATCGTGAAGCTGAATAACCCCAGTGTATGCAACATTCAGCGCCGATTTAGTTGCACACTCTCCCGCCAATCTATCACAGCCAACGCACAATACACACACTCCCGATATTCCGAGATTAACTCCCCTTTTACGTGACATTATGTAACGGATGATATATTTCACGGTTGTGCTGCGCACAGGCTGAAACTAGCTCCATGTCAAGCTTGCACCTTCGCATATGGCTTTGCTATGCGTCCTACGCGTACATGGCTCCGCGATGTGCTTGTAATTGGAGCCGCACCTTGGTCCAGATGTAGGCGGGTCGCGGCGTGAAGGGCCCATGAGTGAAGCAAAGTAGTAGAGTACCACATCGCGTAATGACGTCGTTCAGGTGATGGCCGTGCAACTCCAATGCAGGGGGGCCGTTGAACTGCAACGACCCACCGTTCGAGCTGGGCATGCGATGCTTGGGCGAGGCTGAAAAGCGTAATACGCGTGTTCAAAAGTGTAATACGCGTGTTCGTAAACGCTCTTTCCAAGAGGCTGTCCATCAAATCCTCCACGTAGCGTAACGGCTCCGCAGCTATGTACATAGCTTACACTTTAATTTGGCCCATTCCACTAGTTACTGTATATTCAGGCTGAGCACAAGTGGGGACGGTATCTGCAAGCAACTTGTGTCAAACGGAAGCGGGCATCACCGCTAGATAGCACATGGGCCATGATCCTATAAACCGCGACTGAACGTCAGCCGGCTGGAACCACTGCATAACACCAGACGCACAATCATGGCTCTCACCCATTCTCAATAAGGGATTTAAACATAAAGTTATGGATAAAACCCATATTGTTTATAAAACACCAAGACCCCCTGTTCATAATATATCAAGCTACATGTAACAGGGACCGCCTAAATCCCTATAAAAAGCTCAAATGCCAGGCTTTCAGCTAACTCTACCATTAATTTACAAGCTAAAAATAATCCGCTAAAACGTGCTAAACACATCATCATACTACTAGTTAACAAGATCAACCAAAGACGTGGCGGAGTTATACCAGGGAAAAGCCCCACTGTAGTGTAGTGGCGCAAGTCTCTTCTTCACCATCATAGGATCAGGGCCACAAATGATGGTTGTAAAAGCCTTGATTCAGCCACGAAAGAGAGAATTGTGTGCGCCCCTTGATGGGGGCCGCTCGGCTCCACGATTCATGCCACGCGTTATTGTTGTGTCTGGTCGTGCGACAACCTGATGCGTCCCGCTCCACAGCCGTAGAAAAAGAGAGGCCGCAATCCTTGCGGCCTGAACGCCGGATCGTGAGCCCACTCACCGGTACCCGGCCGGGTGTATAAAAGTATACAAGGCCAGACTAACACGATCCTCAACCTTTCCTGGGAACATCACCGAAGTAGGTCAACGGGATTCCACGATGCTCCTGCTCAAATTGCCCTTGCTGTGGGCTGCCGTGTCTTCAACTGCAGCTGCACTGGAATGTAAATGTGTACGTTCTAAGCTTTCGAGAATAACAGCACATGTGAGGAGTTAACCAGATTCGATAGAAACCATCGGAATCATGCTGGCCTTCAGAGCTCGACTGGTCATCATTCAATAACTCCATCTCCGGCCGCCTGTTGAAGACAGTCCTCCCGGCTTCCGTCTGCTACAAATCAGATCCTCAGTACAACGCGGATCAATGCAGTGAGGTCGTTGCCAATTGGACAACAGCAGCTTTCCATAGCAATAACCCCGTCAGTCTTCATGGGCAGCAATGGGCGAACAACAGCTGCGATGCCGTCTATCCCAACGGCACGAGCCTCGGCGGCGACCCTCTCGCAGGTAGCAGGGGCTGCTCTCTTGGACGATACCCGCCTTACGTGGTGAATGCAACAGACGCTGCCGACGTGCAGGCGGCTGTCAAATTCGCCAAGAGGTGGAACTTGCGGCTCAATGTCAAGAACACGGGGCATGGATCATATCGAAGCGCAGCTCCCAACAGCCTCTCCATCTGGACACATAATCTCAAAGGCTTCACGTTCCACGAAAAGTCTACACCACAATGCGAATCCTCCAAAAAGCACTGCAATGGGGAGCCTCGAATGGCAGTCACTATTGGCGCGGGGGAGCAGGATGATGACCTTTTCCAAGCCGCGGCCAAGCACAATGCAGCGGTTGTCGGAGGCACGAATAAGGATGTTGGCTTCCTTGGATGGTCTCTCGGCGGCGGCCATGGCTGGCTTACCAGCGAGTTTGGCAACGGCGCGGATAACTATCTGGAGGCCAAGGTGGTCACACCCAACGGAGACCTCGTTGTTGCCAACGAAAACCGCAACTCGGATCTCTTCTGGGCACTGCGAGGAGGCGGAGGTGGCACCGTCGGTATAGTGGTCGAGGCAACGATCAAAGCTTGGCCGATGCCGCAAGCTACCGTCTGGACGCTCTCCATTAACAACAAGAACACCAACTGTACGTCGTGTTGGTGGGACCTGATGGCCAGAGTACACAGCTATCTTCCAGATCTGAAGAAAGGCGGTTTCCAAGGCAACTACTACTTTTCTGGTCCTCCTAGCAGCGAAGCCCTCTCGTTCTTCGGCCTGTTCTTCCTGTACAATAAGCCGAACGGAACAGCCGAGTCCCTCATCAAGCCTTTGATGTCGTACCTAGGTACAGCAAATGAGACAGCAGACGCAGTATCCAAGTTGTCGTGGTCACCAAGCTGGATCGATGTATACAACAGTTTCCCAGACGTAGGGGGGGCTGGCGGCAGTGGCGGTGCTACAACCTCAAGGCTTTTGCCCGCCAGGTCACTGACCGAGGATCCTGAACTTCTCGCCAGAACATTGGAGCTTGTAGGGCCAAGTGCCACGCGGAGGAGGGTAAGTCGAGCTTCTGTATTGCATCCATGCAGCTGTACTAACACGGGATCATAAGGGTGGCATCTCGAGTTCATCCGTGTCTGGCTCAATGGCACTGAGCTCCGTCGATGTAGACAACGCGTTGCACCCAGCATGGAGAGAAGCAGTCGTCCATCTCGTCGTCTCCGAGAGCTGGAGAGACGATTTGCCGTATGCCCAGACGCGGGCAGTACAGGACGAGGTCACAAATGTGCTGGGTGCCGCATTGCGCCGTCTCGCTCCTGCAAGTGGAGCTTACCTGAACGAGGTATTTCACATGCCATACTTGGCTTTGAAATGAGAGAACTAACCCCCTTTGCTAGGCCGATGCATACGAGCCCAACTGGGCAGACGCATTCTGGGGGCCAAAATATCCGAAGCTTCGAGCTATCAAGAAAAAGTATGACCCCAATGCTATGCTGTGGTGTCTTCGTTGCCCTGGCAGTGAAGACTGGTATGAAGACGTAGATGGAAGCCTCTGTCGCGTTCGGTAAATCTACATTCAACACCAACTCCAAGTACTGCGGGCTTCGTCTTGTATCATCGGTAAATACGGGTTATGTGCGATTCTTGTACCATTACAATTCAGTCTCATTCTCAACTAGTTATATGATGTCCGGGTCTAGATAGTCATTAGCGACACGAATCGTCGCCAGTGGGTGCTGGGTGCGTCTGCGGGAGTGTGCAAACGTCAACGTTGACCCGGAGCCTTGTTGCCGCCTGGGTGTGTCGTTCCTGGACCGTTTGGATACTGGCCTCTGAGCAACTAAACAAGCATTATTCGGCTTTTTAACCGGCATCATTCGCTAGTTTTAATTAAACCAAGTACCTTTTCAGATAACTTTCACCATTAAAATACATGTTAAATTTCTCACAGCCACATGAAGCTATACTAGAAAAAAGGATGTAATCAAGGGCGCGCTAAGGTCATAATAAGCCGCAACTGTTAACCATAAACCGCACCCAAACCCACTCGACATTAAAGCGGGCACCAATAAGGCTGTGAAATCAAACAGACGTACGGAGTAAGCTTGACGGCAAAATCGTATGTGTGGGTTATTTGGCCCGATGTAGACTAGCGAATGATGCCCACTGCTGCAGCCACCTTGCTGAAGGCCCCAGTGATCGCCTGTGCAGCCACTATCTGCACCAGACTCTATTTAGCCACGCCAGTTCCTGCGCACCACAGGAGTGCATCCAGGTGCGACGATCGACACAAATAGTTCAAATCTTGTCTAGCCGTTCAAGGATATTCCACTGGAGCGGCTTGCTACTAGTCATGCCCGTGGCTTTGTCATCCGTTCGTCTGGCCCGCGTGGCTCAGTTTGTCTCGTTACCGGAAGGCCAGTCGATTGGAAGCAGTTCGCAAGTGCGCAATATGATGCATGCCACATCAAGGCATCGCGTAACTTCGTCCATGGAGCCGAGGTTGCCATGCCAACATCCCAGCATCAACTCGCCTAGTAACAGTTGTTCAACAGCAGGAAATCAAAAACTGGGTTATCGCAGCGAGGTTCTGGTTTCGGTCGGTCTTGGCACCGCTTGTACAGAAGCTTGTCTACTCTGTGTTGAGGGTTCCTCTGGCAGTCAACATGAATAGCTACCGCTGTGTATGTACACATGATACAACACGTATTGTGTTCAGTATATTCTCGATGAGTGGAAGCGAGGTGAAGCAGTTGAGTAACTGGAAGCGTCCGACTAACTTTTTATTCGAGAGAAGCAGGCTTTTATCATTTGGCACGGGCGTGACCCATTTGCCTGGGAAACCTAACACTTTACCTAACCGTCAGGCCGCTTCGGCTTGGTGCATTTTGGCGCTGTTGTTTATGTGCGCTTACTGGTCAACGGTACATTGGCCGTTTCAACATGGGAAACCACCCTGAGCATTCAGTGGGTAGCAGCTATCGTGGGCTGTTCACCAGGCAGCCGGAGCCGTAGCCTTGATGCATTCAATGCGACTCCCTGTTCGATTGCGTGTAGGGTTTGACTAACTGTCCACCGTCCAATTAATATAGTGCTGACCTGACCTTTTTCCAAACTCCATTCAGCGTATTAATATAACAGCATCGGTCTAAATCGTGCTTACAGTTGTCGGATAATGGTGCCTCTGTTGCCTGGCCACGCAACCGTTTTGCTGCCTGGGTCCTCGTTGCAGGGCGGAAACTCAAGACTTTAATACTTTCGAAATACTGCTGTTTACTTTTGAGAGACAGGAACCGAAATACCCTTTTGTCCACTTCCAATTTGTTTCTTGCCAGCTGGTACAGAGCAGGTGTGATACAATGTGGTTTCACAGCCTGTAACACACACTTTAGCCCGTAGCACTTTTAGAGCCCGGTTTGGCGTTTTCGTGAATGAGCGGCCGAAATCACGGCGTGCTATGATTCTTGCGCCCCTGATCTAATTCCATGCATGATGACTGGTTGGCTAGATTTTTATCCAACTGTACAAGGATCAAAGAAGAAGTATCAACTCTACACGGCCGTGCAAAACGGGATTAATTACGTGAAGTAAAATATAGTTTAACTAGTAACTTAGCAAAGTTAAATATAAACATATCATATATATGTGCTGACCTGACCTTTTTCCAAACTCCATTCAGCGTATTAATATAACAGCATCGGTCTAAATCGTGCTTACAGTTGTCGGATAATGGTGCCTCTGTTGCCTGGCCACGCAACCGTTTTGCTGCCTGGGTCCTCGTTGCAGGGCGGAAACTCAAGACTTTAATACTTTCGAAATACTGCTGTTTACTTTTGAGAGACAGGAACCGAAATACCCTTTTGTCCACTTCCAATTTGTTTCTTGCCAGCTGGTACAGAGCAGGTGTGATACAATGTGGTTTCACAGCCTGTAACACACACTTTAGCCCGTAGCACTTTTAGAGCCCGGTTTGGCGTTTTCGTGAATGAGCGGCCGAAATCACGGCGTGCTATGATTCTTGCGCCCCTGATCTAATTCCATGCATGATGACTGGTTGGCTAGATTTTTATCCAACTGTACAAGGATCAAAGAAGAAGTATCAACTCTACACGGCCGTGCAAAACGGGATTAATTACGTGAAGTAAAATATAGTTTAACTAGTAACTTAGCAAAGTTAAATATAAACATATAATATATATATATATATTAAATTCTATATTAATAAGCTTTTGAGTATATATTTTAATAAACTTAATTTTTTGAAGAAAGTAATCAAGGTGAGTTTAGTGCAAAAGAGGGGTTTTTGACAGACCTTTAATACGACGCTGTAGTAGTAGGTCCTCGTCAGGTCGCCCAATCATTTGAATATAATGCTGGTTGCCTCTGTCGAGACCACGCAAGCATCGTTGCCTAGTGGTCACGAACGCCTACGATGTAGTTTTTGACGCCACAAAGGCATCAAACGCCTCGAGCACAGCGTCCTTCTTTAGTGCCAACCCAGCCTTCACTGCGTACGGTCCCTCGGCCCATATAGCTTCTTTCACCCTCTTGCTCGTATCCCTTTTGGCCGTGGCCCGCAAGCTCTGATAGACGCCTTGTCCAGAATACGTTACGATTCCCAGCGCACCGGAACTTAATTTGGCCCCAGAGTTCGCGAGTCCAATACCTGCGCCCTTGATGGCTCCCACGACTCCGCCTCGTTCAGCACCACGCACAGGCTCCATGACAAGGTCCCTGAAGCCTTCCACGACGCCGTGACTAAAGGATTTGGCGGCCACAACTCCACCTGATTTCCAGTCGGTTACACTCCCTGGTTCATATACTTGCCCGCCGTACAGCCTAGGCGCGTTACGCAAGCCCTCTGTAACGGCTAGAGGTAGGTCCAACAACATGCCCTTGGAGAAGGTCTTGAAGAAGTTTCCCACGCCAGAGGCAGACCCAATCATTGCTGCAGCAACGGCGTTTTTTTCGTCTTCAGTAGTATCAGGAGCCGTCTTTGGCAGAACAATAGCCGCGGACCGGCCGTAGACGTCGCCGTCGGAAGATGCGGATTTCGGGACGTGACCTGTTTCCACAGCGGCTTGCTTTCTTTCCGCCCTGGAGTTGCCCAGAACCTCCAACGGCTTTAGTACTATATTAGCGGCCGACGTGACCATTCCTGTTCCCGTAGTCGCCAAAGAAGATGCAGCCACTGTGACTGGGTCCATCTGCGATTGCTGATGTGGATGGGATTCGAGCGGTATCTGAAATGTCATGTAAGTCTCTCTGTCCGGTCTCGGTGAGCTGACGCTGAAACGAAATTCTCATCTCATTTACCTATTGAGATTGCCTTTGGCAATGCGTCCAGCGTCAACCAGAATCTCGGCTGCTCCCTTGGATAACCTGTATTGAAGGCCCTTGTTCTTGCAGAGCCATGAAGCAGGGAGACTAGGCACCACGTCACAGCGCATCTTGTTCAGGGGCAAGTTGGCGTGGAACGAGGCTACGGCCCGGCGGACTCCGCACTCGGACTTCATCTTGGCAGCTATGGCTTCTGATGCCTCTGCAGCCTCTGGTGTCAGGCAGAATCGGATGGCGTTGGCAAGGTTGGTCGCGTTGAGCTGCTGGGCAGGAATAGGTTCAGGACCGGCGCCGGCTGCTGCAACCATGGCGCCCCAAAACGGCTGACTTGCAGGTGTTAGCAAGGCTAATTTTTCGGCAAAGCTTCCATGTTTCTCTACAATACGGGGGGTTGCCAGATTAAAGAGGCCATGACACTTACTCTCCAAAAAATGGGACAATTGCTGTCGGTCGACCGTTGAGCAGACCGCAAGCTGTAGTACCAGCGCCTCCATGGTGTACAACAGCGCAGACATGTTTGAACAGCCACTCATGTGGACAATCGCCGAGGTAGAAAATGTTTTCGCTCTCCGGTTGGTTCTGACCCAGTTTGCTCCACCCTTTGGACACAATTGCCCGTACGCCGACATCTTCAACGGCCTGAACAATCACTTGGGTCAACTTTTCGGGGTCTTCGACGACAATGCTCCCAAAGCCAATGTACACGGGTCGCGGCCCGTTTCGCAGGAATTTTTCCAAGTCACCAGGGGGGGTGTATGTCGGCTCATCGCGAAAGAAGAAGCCACAAACGTCGGCAAAGTTTCAGATAGGGAAAAAGAAAAATTTTAAAAAAAAACAAAGGCTTTGAACGACTTACCGACATGCTCGGGCCAATCATCCGGCTTGGGAACTAGTGACGGCGACCAACAGTAAGTGAACGGTATCTCGAGCGTTTCTGCAAGACAAGGTCCTTCCGAGAAAGGGACTGGCTCCAGGTCAAGCGTTCTTCTCCAGGCATTAATTACGTCTTGAAGGCTGCTTTTGGATCAGTACACAGGACACTTTCTCGTCGGGGGTTTAGAGTCAAACGCCATTCAATCACCTACCCCTGCCACGTGAGCCATTCCACTGCCACATAGGATAAGTAATTTGCCATTTTCGGTGGTGTCTTGGATTCACCATGCATATTAGCCAGCGGGTGGCAGAATGCCGTAGTGCTAGTCCAAGGCATCGTGAACATCAAATGCAGCGGTACACCGAGAGCTTGTGCGCAGTGAATATGTGCAAAACTCGGGGGATTAGCAATAATGGCATCTGCTACGAACGGATCCGACGTAGTTGGGTCGGGCTGGATGCAGGAGCTCCAGAACCCCCGAAGAAGAGTCTCAACCATCTTCCGCTTCTTCTGGACATCACCGCTCGTGAGGCTCTCCATACTCGGTATCAAGCCGGGGTTTTTGACCATGTATGCCATGAGCTCGGCCGGGTCACCGCCGACGGGGAAGAATTCGAGACCAGCATCTTTGACGAATTTGCCGAAAACATCATGCGACGCGAGACGAACTCGGTGATGATGCCGCTGGAGTTCTTGGCCAAGTGCGACAAATGGCTGTACGTCTCCACGGCTTCCAACAACTTGTATGACGATATTGAGGCGAAGGGATTCTGGGCCTTGCTCGGTGTACGGTGGAGGACTCTCGACAGAGGGAGCTCGTTTGGTGATTTGTCGAGGGGTGCTTGGGATGAAGTAAGATAGGCGTCGACAGAGGCCAGAATCGAGTTCGATGTCAACACGGCCACTCTCAAAATTGGTGCTGACGTGGCCATGGATTGCCGCGTTCAATGATTCCACGTCATGATTTTTTTTTGGTTCGTTGCTGTGTGTTTGAGAGCCAACTGTTGAGCTTTCGCCTCCCGGATAGTTGTGTGTTGTCTCGTAAACATCGCTCAAAGAAACTTCGCTCAAGTCACCACCACTTGTAGCCTGGTCAAGGTCAGCGGCATGTAGCGGCGGCATTGTCAATGTCGTTTTCGTGGTCAATCGCACGAATAAGTCAAATAAGTCACTCTTCTCCTAGGACCGCTAGAAGAACTTTTTGAACAAGTGGTGGTGGTGCGCCAAGGATAACTATTTAATCCCTTTGAATTTGTCAAGGTGCCGCCTGTGTATCTACTCCAGAGTACCCTTGTCAAGTATTTCTACCTGTACTAGGCCTAATAAGCCTAATAAAATACTGCTAAGAGGTATGTACCAGGGACGACTAAGAGTACTTTTATTATCACGATAAGTACTTGAGTATATATGTACTTACCTAACACTTCATTCGAATTCTCATTGGATATTATCCCGGAAAGGGACCTCACTAACACCTTAACACATTCAAAGGGGTAATGCCGCACTTGCGCTTATACGCGTACACCTCACTACCGAGCACCACGAACGTGGGCGCCTGGTCGCTGATTACTCGTGCCACCCCCCCTCCCATCCGAAACAAATTTTTTTGGGTCGCGACTTCGCTTTCAATGAGGCACTGGGGTGCTGGTCAACAATACGCGCCATGGCCCATGTCAGACAACTTGAGGGTCGAAAAAAGATCGAGTATAATGGCGCCTTCGGCACCAACTATGTTGAATGAGAATTGTCCAAGGAGCAAGAACTTCATAAAAGCTACACGGGAACCGTGCAGCTCTTATTCACAAAAGAAACTTTTGATAGTTTAGGTTATTGCAGCTGCCGTCTCAGTTTTCATGAGGTACGATCAGGGTAGGCCTGATATGTGACACGCCATCTACACCTATATATCAAACTAACCTCTACGCAGATGCATGCCTTCCACCACCATTGGAGCCGACTATATACAATGTTTCCAGGGCGCCTTCTCGGCGCCTTTTCCTAGCCGCTTTTGCTGCAGCTTCAAAGGCTCTCTCCATCGCATCATAACGTCTCGTAGCCGCCCGTTCTCGCATATGCCTATCAGCTTCCTCGTCCTGATGATCAGACTGACGGACCATCTTACGCCCCCCGGCACTGTAGTAAGGCTCCCGAATAAACCGATCCATCTCGCCCTTCAGAGCCAGCTGCAACTCGCCTAGGGCAAACAGTATTTTACAAACGACGAGCTGAGTCTTGAATGGATTCAGCACTTCGATAAACATACTGTCGGGAAAGAGGACTGGGCAGGACAGACTGCTTATTATCAATGGTCGCGGCTCACACCATACGGTGGAATCCATCCAATATGCATAAGATCACGACATTATATTGGTCGGCTAGCTAGTGTCAATATACCCAGCTTGGACCATTTCAGAACGCACTTCGGTGGACGGCCCCGGCAAGAATCAGAAACGCTGGCACAACTAAGCCGCCTGCAGAGATAGCTTCAATCGACGTAGCAGACTCTCTGTTAGTAGGAAGGTCGAGGCAGGACGCTCTAGATCGCTCAGTGGCGGCCATTCGGCATTTCCCAACCCCAATCTCCAGATATCTGAGTCGACAATCACATGCTCACATATACAATCGTGAAGCCGTTCAAAATAGGTCGTTTTCCTCCACGCTCTCAGCATTCTGGAGGCTGGATCCTGAATTCTCTGGGAGGAGACAGAATACTTGTGACGTTTGATAAAGTGGTCAACCCACTTTGGCCCAACAACAGCGGGTTGAGGGTCTCCTCAATAGACTTGCGCAAAATCAGATTTGCAGCTTCCTTGATGAATTCTCTCCGGATAGAAAGATCCATCTTGTCTAGACGATTAGTATACCTACAAAAAGCAACCTCTTCGTGTTCTGTCAGCCATGCGTTGCTTGCATGTCGGCCCTTTTAGGTGGTACTCCCGAATAACGACGGCGTAAACTGTCAAGATCAAGTCGCTCATTCATTCAAGCATAATGCTGCCTTTGTCAAGAATACGCAAGCATTACTGCTGGGCAGTACGTTCCTGTATTTCTGATCGTAGCTGGGCGAGTGCATATGGCGCAATGGTACACCCAGCCACGGCCATCGTCCCAACCCCAACTAGCTATACGAACGACCAAGTGGGCTTAGGATGGCTGAAACGCTTCAACAAGCACACAGCGAAGAAGACAGTGGGCAAGAAGCGCCTTCTCATCCTTAACGGTCATAGCTCACACTACACCAAGGGATTTATTACATACTGCGATGCCAACGGTATTGTTCCCTTTGGATTACCTCCAAATCTGACACACATACTCAACCACTAGATGTTGTGGTCTTCCAGCCATTAAAAGACTAGCACGCAAAGGCGCTTATTATCAAGGTTAAAGATAGGCTTATTAAGAAAGCTTGAATTTGGCCCTTTAGCCCATAACCAGTCCGCAAATTCTAGAGTCACGCCAAGCAAAGGAGACGCCGTCGCCTCCTTTGAGCCCGAGAAGTCTCCATTCATCGCCTTTTTCCACGCTTTTGACTCTTGGACAGATGAACAAGGTGGCCGATAAATTGGACGGTTTCCTTGGAGAAGACCAGCACCTGGACCCGGAGTTTACACACGATATTGGTCGGTTTATCAGAAGGCAATCAAGATGGTCAAACCAAGGATATTTGAAACAGCCAAAGCTGCACGTAAATGGAGGATGTCTGGAAAGTTAAATCCAGCTGTAGTACGGAGTATACGAGTCTGGATTATTCCCCAGGGCGTTAAAAGAGATTCCAACATTCACGGTTCGAACAAGTGGCTCTATCGGTGGTGTCCACTGGTGGCTGTTTGGTGGGATCACCGTGTGTTCACCTTGTCAGAGCTTCGCCGTCGGGTCAAATCTCACCGAAATGTTTGCTGCTTGCACACCCTGTTGCACGAACCCGTCCACGCACTGAGTGATAGATCGGCGTTGGGACCCTGGTGGCGACAATAGGGTCTGGTCTGGTAGCATTCCCAAGGGAATGAAGAAATCACGTTGCGAATTGGCGTCCTGGAAGCCCGAGGCGACGTCCGACCGAGGTCTCTGGCTGGGAAATTGCTAGACGGGCATGACTCTTGTCACTTCTGATTGGTCCGGCATTCTCTTGGCCCACAGGTCAAGTACCTGCCGGCAAAATCACCATCTTTGTACTGTGAATCAGCAATTTGTACAGCAATTGGTTAAAAAGAGCGAAATCGCCACAAGATACATAGTCTGCGAATTTCTCGTTGCGTCCCGCGTCCACTGTAGCGCACACCTGTTGTCTTCCCAGCCCCAAGGACTGTAGAAGACCGGCCCGTTCCCCGCTAGGTTCAGGTTTCAATCTGACTACTCGTCAGTGCGATGGTTTCTTGCGACCATGTGGTTGCTGTGTGGTCCCTAGGACGATATACACAGAAGTGGGGTGAGATGGCTTAAGTACTTGGGGCTGGGGTGGCAGAATCCAACCAGACGTATTCTAACAGGAACAAAAACCAATCAGAAGTGGTAAGAGTCATTCATGCCCATGCAGCCAAATTATCATGCCCCCGTAGGAATTCCCTTGCCAAGACCCAAGACGGGTGCTCTAGTGACCGCCAACTTGATTAACTGGTGCGCGAAGCCACTCAATTCCCGTAGGAAGTCTTACCAACGGTGCACAGATCTGGCGTTTCACCGTAAGAACCCTTTAACGTATTTGTGAGGTAATATTGAACGTTTATTCCGCCTGCTCCGCCGCTGAAAGTTTGGCCGGGACCCTATGAGGGTTTCAAGAGGACGTATACGCGTATTTAGCCGGAAGCTAATTGTCAGGGCTAGCAGAAACCGTGTTTGTGTTAGAAGTACGGTGTGGAGTCTAGCATGAAGAGGCGTGTCTACACTTCTTGTTCCTCTCTCGTCTTCCATTTTCTTGTGGCGTGGAAGTCTTCTGCTTTTCGCCGCATTGGTCGCATATGCTCGCCAATCCAACAAACCAAGGCGGTCGCATGTACAGGAATAGCAAGACAGGGCCATGGCGTAAAGTGATTGCGCTCATACCTCACCAGCATATTTGATTATGCTCCCGAATTCCGCGTATTCGGATCGGTCTAACCCACAAACTACGCGTATGTCTCCAATGGACCTTTGTTATCAACTACCGACGAATAGGCCAGCTTGGTACGAGGAATCGGCAAGGGGCTCTGTGCAACTTGTTTTACTAAGCCATAAAATCAGCCATGTACATATATACCACAAAGTTATGAACCTTAGGTGAAGATGAGCATCGAATAGCCAACATTCAACTTCAGCAGTTATCAAGTTTTCAAAATGAAAGGCTCTTTTGGTTTGGCCGTTGCAGCTTTGTTAAGCATCGCTATAGCGAAGTGCCACTCTTCGTTTATTCCTGAATGGCACCCCCCTACGGCTAGTGACTGTTTGTTCGGCCTTGCCTACTATCGTAACTGTGTTGCTGATGTGGAAAATAGTCAGAGGACCTTGCCCTATGATGAACACCTTGGCGAATCACGGGTTTCTTCCTCGGGACGGGAGAAATATTACGAGAGATGCAGTCGTTCACGCCATGTCGGCAGCACTTAACTTCGATGAAGCTCTCGCCGACGTCATGTTCGAGCAAGCTATCGTAGCGAATCCTGAGCAAAATGCCACTTTCTTTACTCTGTGTGTCTTTATTCCCTTGTTTTGTTCTCAATCTAACGACCTGAGCATATTCTGATATGCCATGCTAACTTTCCTCATCTAGGGATCATCTCAACCGACACAACGTCTTGGAACACGATGCAAGCTTAAGGTAAGCGTTTTTTCACTCGCATCTACAGTGTTCACTAGTTAACTGTTGAAAATATAGCCGGAGTGATGCTTTTTTCGGTAATAACCACATCTTCAACCAGACTGTTTTCAACTCGACCTTGACATACTGGACTGGTCCGGTTCTCAATGCCAACATGCTGGCAAATAGCAAGTTAGCCCGACAAGTTGACTCCAGAGCTTTTAATCCTACATACACCTTTACTGCGAAAACCGAAGACTTCAGTCTAGGGGAGGTCGCCGCACCGGTAATAGCATTTGGGAATATCCAAGACGCAACAGTGCGCAGAGATTTAGTCGAGTACTTCTTTGGTGAGCAAACTCTCATGTTCTTCGAAGGTTATTGAAGCTCCTTTCGACTGACTAGCCCATGTAACACAACAGTGAATGAGCGTCTTCCTGCAGAGTTGGGGTGGGCCAGAAAGACTGAGCTCGTGAAACTGCAGGATATTCTTCACGTGTCAAATATCATACGAAATGCAACTAGTCTCATCACTGGGGAGTTATCCCTGTCTTCGGGGCGTCGAGACCTTCACGCAGGAACTTGAGCAACCGACTTTTGCTGATTGTGAAGCTTACCCGCAAGGGTGGTTATAGGGGAACGGCCCACTTTAGGACCTAGATAACTCGAGTTTGAGCTTCCATTTAAAGCTCTTAGTCTCCTTGTAAAATATAATTGCTTTATCCAAGTCACACTTGAGTCCGTAAGCAACCTATTTTTACTATATAAGAAAATAGGTAACTTATAAATAACCTAAAAAATACGTAAATACCTATAAGATACCTATATATTACCTATTATAGCTTATTAATAAAATTTTATATATTAAATAAGAAATCAAGTCTTAAATAAATACTAATATTACCTAAAATTACTAATAAATAGTTATAAATAACCCATTTTCCTATATAAATATATTTAGGTCTTCTTTTCCTACCAAAACCTACCTAGAGCCTACGGATAAGCTACCCATACTGGGTATCCTTGGACCTTTTACACCCTACTCTGCAAACATCTATAGCTGCATACTCTGTTGCCCATTCAGCTCACGAGCGCAATAATCAGGCGCTCGTCTGGCAAAGCAGAGAGATGTACATGCATAGCTTGGAACAACAACTAAGTGATGAGACGCATGTCTTGCCCTGTCCACGTGCGCGTTGGCCGAAAGCCCGGCCTTGGTAGGAAACGAGCGAGGCAAGCTGGGCGAGTCCGCCAACGGGGGACAACACACCTGATGGGGGCAATGATGCTCATGGAGATGCGCACCCCATGAGCCCGCTCGATGTTTGCCTAGACACGCTTTCTGAAATGCCAGCTCTGATGCGTCGGCTGGACGGTGCCTTGAATGAAGCCGTCGACGGCCGACTCCAACAGAAATGCCATGCTATGCTCGCGTGGTGTGACGAACTGGACACAACCTTGCGGGACTAGCACATTCAGTACGAACAATCACATCCAGGACTTCTGTATCACACGACATTCTGGCTCTGGGAAGTCTCTTGGACAGCGGCAAGTGCGGTAAGGTATTTCCAATGTCCCATCGGTACCCCGTCTTCTGACTCTTCTCTGTCGCATACCTCCTTGTCATGTATTGGAGCGGTATGCTGGTGGTGCATAACACGGCCATGGCTGCCCAATACGAGCTCGCTCATGTTACCAGTGCCTCACCATGCAGTGCCAAGGCCGCATGGACGGCCGCAAGAGCAGCATACAGTCATAATGGTGCGAAATGTGTGCCAGTCGGTGGAATATCTCGTGGGCGCGGAGATGGGACGACCTGGCCCGACGGCAGCCATGGGCGTATTACAGGGCTGCATGGCGTGCTTGACTGGAGGGCCGGAGTCTTGGGAAAGAGAACAGGGCTGGATTGTGGAAATGATGGGGCGAATTGGACAGAGATTGCATTTTTCCGAGACATGATGGTTCGGTCGAGGTGGGTGTTGGCTCGGCGGCTGTTGTTGGTCGTACTGCAGGGCAGCTTTCAGCATTTCAGGGCCACCAACAGGACAGGATACTCCCAGAAAAGTGTGACTGCGCCATGCATTGGAGACTGGACCTGTTGATTGGACATTAGAGTACGGAGCCATCAACGTGTCTGGATTTCCCTGCAGTTCCTGACGTTCTTGGTATCCAGTGCATACAGCCGATTCAAGCCTCCTTTGGTGCAACTCGGTGTACGGAGGCTGACCAATTCAACACACGTGGTTGATTCACCAAGTCCTCCGTAAGCGATATAAATAATGCACCAATGTCCTGTTTATTTTTATTGGATGGCTGGATGGTCTTCGTACTACGCGAGTGCGTATGTGCAGTTCCTACTGGCTGAAAACGTATCCGGCCTAGTCCTCTTGCCGCCCTTTCAATATCACAATCAACTTCTAAAGAGCATATATTATGCAAAGTAACGCATGTATGTAAGCGTAGCATGAAAACGGTACCGGAACTGGATTGCGCTCCGTTTAATAATCTTTCGTATGCGTGGAAGCGTCAATGACCCATGCACCAATGGCATTGGCGTCTGAATCATCGAATCTTGAGTAATGTGTCGCGTCATACACATGAGCCCAGGTCTTTTCCCGCCACCTGAGTTAGTACTCAAGGCGGCGAATGAAACGACTCAAGCGTTTGATAGTAGTTGCATCAAGAATGATAATGGCGTGCATGATCAAGGAACAACGCAAACCGCGGTAGTAACAACCACATAAAATACGTGCCGAGCCGCCTCTCTCGCCTCTTGGGAGACTTTGAGAAACGGACGGTATACTATGGCGCTTCTGGAAATAAGTTGCACTTTGAGATATTCACTACTTTTTAGGTATTCAATTGCTTTTCTTCTCGCACTTGTTGTCGACTAGTGAGTCATTGATCGGGCCTTTTGTGTAGAAGGCTCAAAGTAGGTTTTGAGGCTCAAACTAGGCCGCAAGGTTCGAATCATAAGCTAGCTAGCAAATTTACTTGCCATGTCACGACGCTTATCGAATTTGACCGTTGAGCCAGGGAGCACCAGGATCCATAGACGGTGCTCCTGGCCGAATATCCCCGATACCAAGCTTATATGTGTGCCCTTTTGGCTCTCTCTCTCTGTGTGGCCTTGTCAGGATACGACCTTGAACGGCGTCCTTTTCGCCGTTCAACTGTTAAAAAGACCTCAATGGCCTAGTTGAAAAGTCTGAATCAAGAACCAAGTTCACATTCACTTCGATCCATAGCTGCTGAATCGTGAAACTTGGGGTTGCTTGGTCTCGACTGAATGTATCGACGACCATTAAACTTGGGCATATAAAAGTTGCTATGCGAGAGCAAGACTTACATAGGACCCAGCTGAGTCTCTCTGTCAGAAACTGCCACATGCCCGACAGGGTGGTCTACTAATTCTGTGGGGATGTAAAGTCCGGCACCAGCTGGGACGCGCAGGTCTATATTGAACGCCAAACGCGCTGCTGGTGCTGTCCCTGTTCGGGCGGTCTTGCCCGATATCAAGTTTGACGGGCCCGTCGTTTGGGGGGGAAGTAGCATCCAGGAACCAGAGCGAAGGCGCGGAGGATACTGCTATCGCCATTACGGCTATATCTGTGGTTGTGTGCTGCCGCTGAAAGTTCAGAGCTCAAGCTCGTTGCATAAAACTGCACTTGAGTCGGATTGCCACTGTGTTGGCGATCCAGCACACACACACACACAAATAACTCCCGCCGCTGTCCCTAAGCGCACTTCTTGATAATACTTGGCGGTAGGGGCGGAAAACTGGATAGTTTATTTGGCAAATATCCAGTTTGAAAGCCTAGTGATAGTATCACCTGTAACTGAACTCCTAGTTGAGATTTGTTTCGTGGTTGTGCCTGTTCTTTATCGCTGCGTGCATTGTAGCCTATTTTTACATCAACCGCCGGCTTCGTGTAAGAGTATTTGCCAAGCGGACTCTAAAATATATCGGTGCAGCATTGAGCAGGCCTCGAGAACTGTGCGTGGCTCGACCATAGGTTGCGAGATTCATCGTGCCGCAGGCTGCAATCGTTGCCGAAAACTCAGCCTTCTGGGATGGTAGAATCATCCCCCCCCCCCCCACTCGGCTCCCCCTTAAACTTATTTGGCAAATATCCAGTTTGAAAGCCTAGTGATAGTATCACCTGTAACTGAACTCCTAGTTGAGATTTGTTTCGTGGTTGTGCCTGTTCTTTATCGCTGCGTGCATTGTAGCCTATTTTTACATCAACCGCCGGCTTCGTGTAAGAGTATTTGCCAAGCGGACTCTAAAATATATCGGTGCAGCATTGAGCAGGCCTCGAGAACTGTGCGTGGCTCGACCATAGGTTGCGAGATTCATCGTGCCGCAGGCTGCAATCGTTGCCGAAAACTCAGCCTTCTGGGATGGTAGAATCATCCCCCCCCCCGCCAATGGCTTCAACTTGAAAGCCTTTTATAGAAGGGCAAAGGCTATTCGTTGGCCCTTACGGCAGATTTTCATCATTGTTTGTGGACTGTGAAAAGGATCGGTACCGCATCGTGGACACTATCTCAGATAACGCCAAATGCGACGGGACAAAAGACTCACCGGTTTTAATGGGCTATGATGGCTACCAAATGGAGCACCAGAGTTTAAAAGTTGTGATTAGTAGGTAGCTACAGAGAAGTCGTGGGAACATACGGCGTACACGTAGCACAGCCTAGAGGGCACCGAAAATAGACGAGCAACGCCACAGGAGGTTGGCGGAAAAGCGGCGCTGCACATTTTCGAGCCGTCATAAATTGGACTTGGAGGCCAGAGCAACAAATTCAAATCAAGGCTTCGGTTCTTGCTGACTGGCGTTCGTGGTGGATGGCGGACTGCAGGAAACATTGGCACAGCTACAAGCACGACGACAGGGGTTGCTGATCGGCACTCATTTCCCAGAAGCCGTGATAGCCAACGGCCTGTGCATTCGACTGGACGGTGGTACAGACAAACACGCCCAATTTTGCTTGTTTTGAATGCTGCAGACCGGGTACGGAGTAGTTCGGTAGGATGGCGTCGTCCAGAGGCCCGGAGCGGACGCTTGCCGACCCCAAACTGTTTGCTGGCCTGGCAAGTGTGATGCAAACACCCGATCCATCCATTCATGTTGGCCAAATTTCTGTCGATGTCTAATTTCGTGGCCGCAACCTGTGCTACCACCACACAAGCGGCCCGGCTGCGCCCAACAGCAACACAGCCAGCCCCTGTCTTACTCGATGACACTACTTTGCTCATTTCGCGCCCTTGCTTGGAGGAGCAGGAACCGGTCGATTGTTCTTTAAAGCGCGGATGCGCCGCCCGTAAAGGATTCGTCGACTTACATTTCTGGCTTGCTCCGTCGACAACTCGTACCATCAGTGTAAGTCATCACATTGTCAGTGTGTGGAAATCAGCCCGTGCTTGAATCCATTCGCTGGAACTCGTCATTTTATATACATTCAAGGCTCCCGAAGCAAGGACCATGCGCTTCTCAACCCTCGTGGTAGCTGGCTTCTCTGCCATCGCCCAAGCCACCCACGACGCTCCGGTAGTCCGCAACAACCCCAACGTCATCTACGAAGCCGCCCTCCCCAAGCACGGCTTCTATCACGGCAACATACATGTTCAAGGGAGCGTACGTGCCTCGCGCGGCCCGGGCGGCACGGGCGTCAAGTTCGACGTCGACTTTAAGAGCTTGCCCAAGGAGGGCGGGCCATTCCGTACGTTTTCCAATACTCGCACTGGCGCTGCCGTCGACTCACTGACACTGACATGGAACAGTCTACCATATCCATGTGAACCGGGTCCCCGCCGATGGCAACTGCACCAAGACGCTCGCCCACCTCGACCCGTACGGCAGAGGCGAAGATCCCCCTTGCGATGCCAGGGCTCCGCAGACCTGCCAGGTGGGCGATCTGAGCGGCAAGCATGGCGAGCCCAAGATAGCCCCTTTAAAGTTTTACTTTGTCGATCCGTATGTATCGTTGGCGGAGGGGACTGAGGCCTTTCTTGGGAACAGGTCGATTGTGGTGCATTTTGCAAACAAGACGAGGATTGCCTGTGCCAATTTTGAGAAGGTGTCTGGGTGTCCTGCTTAGGTCGATCAGGATGTTGGGTTGATAATTCATGTATTTAATTCGTCCTGGACGAGAAATCGTCCAGTTGGGGCAATGGCTCTATCACAAAAGTCTTGAGACAACTAATTACTTAGCCAGCCGCCTGAGAATCCCAATTAATATTGTCATTATTGCAGGCAGCAACCATGTCGCATATCTGCCGTTCTGCATTTCTCTCGTGATGCATTTCGTCAATGGACTCTAAGTTGGGAGGAGTTGGCTTGGATGGTTGTTTCGCCAACGGGGATCACATTCGTTTGCATGACTCGTCCTTGTCGATCGAGTTGCAAGAGATACAAAGGGACTGCATGACAATTCACAAGCACCAGAAGAAAAAGTATTCAATGTTGTCGCAAGATGCCTTAACTGGGCATTGATGATGGTTTCTTTTATAGTCAGCTATCGCACCAGAATTTACCCACACCATAGGCCTAGGTTTTGTCGCTCTGTTTTGGTATCAATTAGCGTGAGCGTCCACATCGGTGCCTTCAACATCACGGATGCCATTTATTCCCATTTTAGATTTCTGACATCATTATGCTGTTGCCTACATGAAACCTTTCCAGATATCTTCTGTCGACTTGACGACGAACCAAAACAAATGCACACTGCTTCAATTTTCTGTCTACATAAATAATGCATGCGCCCTTGCCAAGTAGACTTGCATTAACTCGTACGGCTCACTTGAAACGGCCAGAGCGTTTCTTCAACAAGATCGGCAGTGGCACACAAACAAAGGCCTTGAATTGGCTACCGTAGCAGCGGTACCTTGGTACGCGAACTTGAACGTGCTGACCTGGCTCAACGCGGGAGAGCATCGCGATAAAGCGAAAAGCAAACCTGGCGTATCACCCTCTCTACCAATGAAGCGTTCTAATCGATTCCATAATTAGCTTTTACAGCCCTTCGTACTGTTCACAATTCATCAAGTGGCTGGCTCATTAACCTCCTCCATCATGGCGGCGACGTACCTGATCGTAGCATCTATAAACGGCACATCATAGCCCCCAGTCTGCGGCCCCGCCAGGATGCCTATGAACTGGAAGAATCCTGTGAATGGAAAATATGGTTTCTATGCGTTTCAACTCCTATTTGTGGATGGGCAGATTAACAGCTTTAGCAGTGTACGTGGCTGTAGCCTCCAACGTGTCGCCTGCCAGTAACACCTGCAGGCTAGGTATCCGTAGAACAATTGAATCCGAAGCATGGATATGGAAACCATGTAGTTGAACGCTTATATTCCCGATGTCAATGTCCACAGGTCGCGAAAAGCTGACACTAGGAACTACAGCATCAATGGGAGGGTCCGATTTCTCTTGATTCTGTTTAATCGTATCGCATGACTCTTAGCTGCCTATACTTACACAATCCGTGAAGGCTGCCGGCCCTGCTATATAGTCATTGTGTGCATAGCTATAGATGACGCTTACTTTGTTGACGTCTAGGCGCTTGACCTGGCGCAGGACCGCGGCGGCATGCTGTATAGTAATGTGAGCATCAAAGATGAGCGCTTCGTACTCAGATGCGATGCAGTATCTTGCTACAACTAGCGTGAAGGCACTGTTACCTAGCCAGTTGGGCTTGTTGGCCTTGAAGACTTTGGAGTTCATTGGTTCGCATAGTAATACTGGCCAACTGCAGCCCATCTCAAAGGTCCCTCGCAAGGAGGTCGAGATGACTCATTTTGATCCTTGAACAAATGATAGGGGAGTGGAAGGAGGAGAGAAGTAATGACCGGACGGCTGGCCTACACTGAAGAAAGTTTAGTGACGTAGTTTTCCATTGGCCTGATATTCTTTCCCTTGAATCGGCCTTATTGATGAACCTGACTGATGTGAAATATATAGAAGAGCAGGGGATTATTTTCGTTGCATGAAGGTAGGCCACTGCTGGGGAGAGAGGGGAGGGGGTGAAGAGCATTTTACACCATAGATTTTGTAGAACCATATTTGCACACCCCCTTTTGGTTGCTTGGTGTTGACAGCCACAATCCGACACGACTGCATTTCGTAGAACGGCTAACATCAGTCATTTTGGAGCCCATGACAAACGCACCATCGTCTCTTACTGAATATTTTCATATTCGAACTTGGAAGAATGCTTGGGCTCTGGCTGGGAAAGCAATTTGGAGTGGCTACAATTTGAACGATATAATGCTATCATCGAAAGATGTATTGAATATTCAAGACGATGCAGACCATTGTATTTATCAGGATAAAATTGATCATATGGGCGGTTGTGCCTCTCACAAGTGATACATGTGCTCCAGTTTTCGTTCCTATTTCTGACAAACTACTTCCAGTATATACGAAAACAGCACCCAACGACCCGATAGTTCCAATCTCAGGAGGATCGAGCTGCGTCTGCGGCTAGCCGTTCTGATACAGGAACATGACTACGTCTCAATTCGTTCACATATTGCTGTAACATGGTCCTGTTGGAACGGGGGGTCGTGCAGGAGTCACTGCCTCTTGTTTCGCGAGTCCTGGAATACGCGGAGTGTTAGCCAACCTCACTGCTCTCAAATGAACCAAAAGCCAGGTGCAGCTACCTTGACGGCTCTGCCGCCTGTGACGGAGGGACAGCTGCCGCCGTCACAGATCGTGAAGGACTGTTATTTGAAGGCATTATAATGAAGAAGTCGGAGTTTAGGAGTTATAAATTGAGATAGGAAGAATAATAGCTTTGATTCAAGAGGGAGTTGTGAGGGAAAAAGACAGAGTACTACAGCCAAGAAAGAAAAGACCACCTGAACTGAAGGAACCCGTCTCAATATTATAGATATAATACAACCCAAGAAACCACGCCGCCTCTGAATGTGATTACATTACTCGATCACATAGTTCATACCCTTGGAAATGCCAGCGAGGCATCAGATGGCTTGCAACTCGTCCAATGATATCGTCAATACATGTGATAGAGGCCCAACGTAGTCGCCTTGCAGGCATGTGCTTGGGTACAAGTGTAGGCGTGCCTCTGCCCCGTGTATCCCTCAGCAGTTGCTGCAGGCCGAAAGTAATAGAACCATAGTCTGCCGAAACTCGCGTACTGCGCGGCCATGTCTTGATTACCTAGCGGATTAATGTTCAACACTCAGCTGGTTCGATTCGGATTTGGTAAATCACAACTGATCGTTTACATTGGGTAGCGATTGTTTAACAACCCGCCTCATCAGGGTACTAGCCAATCTCTGGAAACAGGTCGCCAAACAAGACGAGTCCATCGATTTGATTACCGAACTAATGAACCCTGGCATATCCAATCGGGTTTCATGTCACCATCGTACCTGTGTCAAGGGTTAAGGAGAGTGGGCCAATGGCTGAGCAAGAAGGGGGGGGGGACTTTGAACCCAGTACACGGATATACATTTAGACTGTTCCGTACAGGATGATTGTACCTTTGTTCTGTCTGTGCCCAATTCATGACACTGGAGACGGTCTTGGGCTTGAACTGCCTCACCAGCGGATGTCATACCTGAATCATGTTCGGAAATTCCACGACGGCCTGTGAATGATGCGCACATGACTAAACCCACGCCGAATATGCGAAATGAACAGATGCGACATTCCAAAAAGATTGAGAGTTATATCGTCATGTATTATATATGTGGCCTTGGGCAGAAATTCGTTCCGCCCCTCGGTATAGAAAAAGGGGCCATGTACCTCGACGAGAATCTACTACCCGACCATTGTGAACTATTACACTTACCGGAATTGAAGTGCTCTCATGAGATTTCAACGCTCGTAGAGCTAAAACGGTCAGGACCGCTAGCTCATCGGCTCTTGGCGTATATTGCTGGCGTAGATGCCAACCTCCTCGCATTCCCGTTCTACCGGACATCTGGATGATTTTGTATGTGCCATGTAATCGTGGCCAGTTGGTACCTGGCTCATTGCTGCCCGTGTGACATGGGCGGAGATATCTAAGGACCCTACCTTGTCTGCACCCACTGCAATCATCTCTCAGCACCTTTCGAGTTGCTCTGGGTGACGTAGTCTGTATGTAGCGATCAAGTACAATGGCTCCTGATATGTCTTCTGTCCCAACCTGAGACAAACACCCGAACGTCGGTAAACTACACAAGCTGATGCCTTCTGGTCAATTTCAACCTATCGGATCGCTACGAGCTTATCCTGGTAACATGGGATAATCGTGGCAAGACTACCTGAAAGATGGCGTGTGGGGATTTGAGTTTAAAACTACTGGCTCTCAGTGCTAATTGCGATTTTAATCTGGGCAGGGCCGTCTCTCGGTGTGCTTCATGTGCCCATCTGCGCTGACTGGAGGCGCCCAAAATGCGGTCTACATATACGTTGTTCGCCGCGGCGGACGCCTCTTCCAACTGCTGGAACTGCTACTATCCTATCTTTTGGGGCGTCTACAGCATACTATGTCATATGCTGCCACTTTACCGGCGAGGATGATACGAATGATTCACAATATTTGTTTGCCCATCGAAAGCCGATGATGTTCTTACCCGGCGGTTCTATATGATCAGAGCCACAGCGCTCAGAGAAATCTGGCTCCTGGTGATATATTAGAGACTGCAGCATTCAGCGATTTCGGGTGGTCCGTTCTCCTCCTGACAGTAATTGCACAAATTCTTTTCGTCGCAGCGTTAGACATGGCCATACGCCCCTAGTTGCGGTATTTTCTCTTAAAAACGCAAGTTTTCATGTTTGTTACCCTCTCCACAACTGACTGACATGCGAGTTATCCCATATCGCCTGAGTTGTTGAAGCCTGACCGTCCATACCCGTCACCTCTCGTCAAGCATCCCTTTCTTCGTATACTTGAGCAGGGCTGCTCATGAAACCAACCATATCAGGCCGTGGCCGTCAGTTATAACTCATATGAACGTTCTTCTATTATTTGAGTATTTTTTTTTTCACGCGCTTTACAACAGAATTAAATACATGGACGTTTACTCTTCTACGCTTTGTCTCTACCCAGTCAAATGGCTGAGCATCATCGCCCTGCAATCCGTATTCGCAGCGCCCCCAATACCAAATGCTGGTATGATGCGTATCATCCGCAACGGGGCACAGACCCGAGAGTGCCTCCATACAGAGTTGAGGCGTGCAGCAGCCGAAACCCTGTCTCGCCTGTGGTGCACGTCAAGTCCTAGTAGATGAATCGGCGTGCTGACTATTTGTGCAGCCACGGGGGCCACCACTCGTGCAAACTGTAGCCGCGTCTCCTCGGAGCTGAACCAAGTATAAGCTCGGGATATGGCTGAGCTAGAAAAGACGGCCAGTTCGGGGGCAATCATGGTCGGCAAGGTGCACGACGCAAACAAAGTGACTACATCCCTAGCCGTGAGCAAGGCGTAAGTCAACGGAGGCGCCGGCGCTCTGCCTGCAGCATTGGCAAAATATCCGTCCTTGTAGACGCTTGAGCCGATGCTGACGGCCGTCGTGGCAAAGAACTTGCAAGGCGACACGGACGTGACGGCGGGGTCTGTACAATTGTCCCTGGCGTAGAAAGAATCGAAACAGTTGGCTGTGGCATAAGTCGCAAAGTAGACGAGAAACGACATGGCTAAGGAGCTGGCCATTTTGCTCGGCTTGGATGCCCAAGATCGCAATGAGTATGATACACTGGATCCGATGGCTTTATTATAGACGAGTCTGTTCAAGGTACACCAGGTTAACCACTCGAATTCGTGTAGCATCATGTCCAGCCCCTGAGGGACTCTGATCAGCTTCATCTAGCTGGGCGATGTTACCACTCACTTATCAGCAACTGCAGCCCAAGGAGACACCAGCGCTGATGCATAGGCCGCAGAAAAGAGGTCAGCAGCAAGGCAGCCCCAGGTGCAGCGTTGTTGCGTTTTCGCGCTTTCTACTTCTGTCATGACGAAACTTGTGTAAAACACTGAGCAGTCCAAGGCAGGAGATGGCTTGTATGTGTAAATGGCAACCGCAGTCGAAGTATATATGACGGCTTTATACTCGAGTTAGCTTCATGTGTCGAAAATAGAGCGACGTGCTCTATGTATCTATAAATACCGGCTATTTGAGCATATATTGTCCCGTGTCCGGCTACAAGCGGCTTCCTGACGCCTGGGCTGTATGGTCAACGCCCGGTTACCGGCAACATCTCAACAAATTGCTGAGCCTCAATTCGTGATCTTGACGTGGCTCCGAAATGCGGCGATGAGGGTAGCTGGGGTCGCTGTAGCCCAGCGAGTGACTCTAGCCGTATGCGCATCTCCATAATTTTGGAGGCTACAATCTGCGAATGCAATTGGGCTTTTATTTGCCGGGTTGTATTTTTGGTCATCTCCTGTCGGGTCATATCGGAAAGGCGCTCGAATGAAACAAAAGTGGCGGCGGAGCTGGAGGACAGTCGCTGTAATTCCTTCGCATTGTCTGTCAACACGGGCCAAGAGTGGTGTTTGTGGCCTATTTGAGTAAATTTTGTTGAGATTCAGCAGCTTTTCCATGTTCAATGCGGCTAGATCATACAGTAAATATCTGGTGTTGTTATTATTTTGCCCCGGCTTGCGCACCGGTTTTCGGAAACAGATGACTTGGCCTTGGACAGACGCGGATCTGGTGTACAAAGTATGCATCAGAGCAGTTGTAAGGAACAAGATTGATTGTGCGCAATGTATAATCTGGAGAAACGGATGGCCGCGCTGTTGAATCACCAAAGAGTTACCAACGCTACCTATCACCCACGGCCGCCCTCAACAAAGCTGTTTGATCGTCACTCTGTTTTGAAGTTGAAGCAGCCGAGAGCTATGAAGCTAAGAATTAGGCTTGCAGAGGACAATATACTCCACATGCTTCCACATGGTATGCACAGTCTTTCCGCGTACTGCAAGTTACTTTTGCACCCAGAATAAAACTGCTGAATTTGTCTTAATATCTCAAGGGAATTAAAGGGTGTGTCAGCTTGACTGACTACGCTACATCCTATGCGTGAAGATCGGAGAGTCGAGCGCAGGGATACGGAGACTGTGACCGAATCATCGAGACAAAGCAACGTAGGTCTTGTTTGATAATATTCTATGCCGTCCAAAGTGAGAGGATTCCGCCATTCATACCAAGATTTCGGGATGAACTGGTCTTCTAACTTCGTTTTATAGCTTTGATGGCTGGGAATAGGGGCTCTTAAGGAGTAAATACAGGGGTTGGCGTGGCTTTCAGAGACGTACCTATACGCCTTTCTGCAATACAACAGCGCCTAAGCCTTTGAAGCTGGCTGGTATCCAGATATTGGATTTCGTACTGCGCTTGGCTGGAGCCGAACGGGATGATCGTCTTGTTGATGGTGCTGTCGCCTGATGTGGGAAGTCCTTCCTCGAACGGGTGGTAATAGATTCAGCATCTATCCTTTGATATTTACAAGCCAAAGGACAAGAGTGTTATAAAATTCAGAGCATCATAACAGTTGGCGCCGATGGCAAGGTGCCAGTATTCTAGCCCAAGAAGTACAGCGCAAGCTTTGTGCCATGGTCTCAACGAAAAGGCCGTGGTCCCTCGCTGAACAATTCCAACACCACTTATATTTGTTGATAGTAAGATGTCAAGTTCAAAGAAGGAGCACACCACATGACCGGCGCGACGCCTGCAGCCTGGTGGGAGGAATTTGCCTAGCTTGTCCCGGCATTCGCCGTCATCGGATGACCCCATGCCAGATGAGGCACTTGGCAAGCCTCCCCGGCGTAAACAAGAACCATTCAGATTCTCGCCTGAATGAAGACCAAGCCAAATTGAGCAAGTTTGTCGGAACTACAGCCGTGGCGTCTGGGGGCGCTCAGAGGTGGCGCGGAGTCCCCGCATGCTCCTGGTGTTGCCCAGAGCAATTCGCTCGAAACAAAACAGCAATCAGACTATTTCGTTCTGCGTGGTTCAGTCATGTACATAGCGGCTACTGGCAATACATTATGCTGAGATGGAGTTGTCCGCACACGTCCACGCTCCAGACCCGCCACTCTTCTTGTACGAGTCTATAATGCCGACAACTGACCCGTAAGTACCGGTAACCATCAAAAACGTACCAGATACAACTACAAAAATGCTGAAAATAACCATCAGAATCCACTTAATGGTTCGATCTTGTTTGCCCCTGCTCCAATTATCGTACAACCACATGCAGCCCATGGGCTGGAAAGACATGAGTGTACCGAGGAGGGCTCCTATGAGAGAGACCAAGCCACCAAAGACGGGGATACCACTAGCTATTAGGTAGGCAATTACCGTGGTGACAAAGGTGCAGCTGAGCCAAGTCGCCCAGTGAACGAGGTTGTTTGCCGTGAGATGCCTCGACCCTCGCAACATACGAACAAAAGCATACTTGGCCGGCAACTACAGAAACAAGCGCCAGTAGGATCAGCAGGCGTCATATTAATGAACTCTATCAGGCTACAACCGGGGCCATACTCACGTGGACGACAATGGTTGTTGTTACGATAAGACCCGGGAGGGCCAGGCCATACGCAATCCTCTTGACTACTGCGCCGGCAGAACCCAGTGCTGGAGACGCAACGTAGGAGCCGCAAAAGTAATAAACCACGGCGCCAATTGATACGTATGTCACCGTCACACCAGCCTGGCAGATAAGCAGAGACCTCGTGTAGTGGCGCGGGTCACGCATCTCAGCGGCGATGGCGAAGAAGGCCGGAGTACCCGCATAGGCAAAAACAATGGAAGATATTGCAGACACGGCCGAAGTAAAGGATGGCGTCTCGAATAGTTGAAAGTCGGAAACCCACGGTCCTTGCTGCGGTGCGGCAGCGGGACGGTCCTGAACACCCACCGCAACAGTCACCAGCAAGACTGCCAAAGTAAGTACTTGCTGCTGGTACCAAGAAGAGCGGACTTACTCGAAACAAGTATTCCGGTTAGTCCTACGTACGCCAGCCAGCTGATGCGGCCTAGCGTGCGAATGCTCGAGAGAATGAAGCCGATGATGGCGGCGACGGCAACAAAGACGGCAGTACATGCTCCGTGGGACGATATCGCGTTGAGGCTGATGGAAATGCCCAGCATTCCCGACCCGGCAACAAAGATCCAATCTAACCCAAGTTAGCACCGCATATCTAGGAACATGATCTTTTTAAAAGCGCCCCACTGGAAAAGGATGAAAATGAGACAACTTACAAACGCAGAAGGCTGCGCCAAAAGCTTCCCGCCCAATGCGGCCGAACATTAAGCCACCAGCGTCATCGATGCCATACACCTCAGGATGCCGCCGCTTGAAGACACCGACAATGTGGTCCGACCATGTAGTAATGCCCGCGATGGTAAGCAGGCAAACGAGGCCCGGAATGAGCCCTAGAGTGTCGAATGTTGCCGGTATCGACAAGACGCCCAGGCCGATCTGGGTCTTCATCATGAGCGCGACCGTCCCTACCCATCCAACCTGTCCAATCATGAGTTTCTGTCAATGTGCGAGCACTCGGGAGACTTACATTGCGGTAGTTGGGGCCCTTTTCCGTCAAGTTGCCAAACACGGCATCATGGACACTTGCATCGCCGTCGTAATCCAGATGCTCAACTCCCACCACCGACAGGTGTCGCGGCTCGCTCTCGAGACCAGACGACTCGGACTTGTTGGACATTTCGGGTAAAGCACGATCGATGGGTCGCGGGAAAGGCGCTGGCAGCCGAGTCTTGGCCAAGCGGAATCCTAACACAAGGACTCGGGCCCTTTGGAGGACAGTAGAGAAGTGATTATAATTGCGCAATTTGCACCAGACTGTTCTGAACAAGTTTGATGTACGTATGGCCCTTGTCGAAAGATGACGGCAGGATTTAATGCATTGACATGGGAATCATAGATGTTTTTAAAGGCTCCCTGGATGGCCGCATTTGTCCCAAACTCGGCGGCAGAACCTCGACGTCCGCAACAGATTAGATTAGTGGCTGTGGCTTCTTCTGAGTTTGCGTCGTGTGTTGGTTTCTGTGGCGTCTCCTGCGCTAACTCGGCTTGATATAGCCCGTGGACTACGCAGCGTAGAGCAAGTCTACGATGGAGTGTGAAGGCATTTTTTTTACATGTGTTGTTACACAAACCCCTCATGGCGGCGATAATTGGATCTGTGCTATCCGCAGTGGAATGAGGGGATTGTTGTGTTTTGCCAATACCGCGCGCAGTTAGATTGAGATATGGGCAACAAGTGCTCCACCAAATGCGTGTTTATGATAAAGGGGTTGTTTGCGCATGCGGCGAGCCGAAAGGAGGATGAAAATGAAAGGGAGGAGCACGGAGGAGCTTTGTCGTTGAAAGGAAGAAGCATGTCGACGTCACAGGTACCCCGCGAGACGCGTCACTTTAGTCCTGGGTTTCGGAGATTTTATGACTCGGGATTTTGTGTTTCATGATGGAGATTCGGGGCCAGCCTTCTTGTAGCTATGAATAGCTCTGGTCCATGTTGCAATTCCCCGCAACACACATGGCGGCCCAAGACCCCTGCAGATTGTGCATCATCCGTATTCTGGCATGCTCAAATACACGGAAGAATACATATGTATTTCAATGCGAATAAAACGACGGCCTGCTGCATCATGGCTTTCGGTCGGCCATGGGCGCCAAGTTGGACAACCGCCTTTGCCTGACCAGCCTAGTCGCAATACAAACATGGCTATCGCACTCGCCGATGCATTGGCAAGAGACTTGGGCGCAGGTGGTACTTATTGTTCATGGTGGACCATCAGTTAACTACCCTGCTCTTGGTACATATGCAAATAACTCGCGAAGCTCAATGTCCGCTGCATAGTGCACCGGCCGGCAACAAGCTTGTCATAAGGTCTGATGCTTCCTCCTTCTCCGAATACACTGGAAACTGATATTATTAGTTCCTCTTACGAGTGACTAGGCACATGAGGAACTCAGGAAATTGAGTATGATGCAGCCTTGGTACCTTGGCATCCATTTGTCAGAATGAACCCGGCACGAGGACGTATCGTCGAGATGACGACAAGAAGCACCTTTGCGATTAACAATACTTTTTTGTTCAATTCAGCTTTCTCAGTCGTAAAACCGCAAAGTCCAGGCTAATTAATCTCACCAGACTATTCAAAAGCTAACCTCTTCGCGGATACTCGAGTCCATGCCTCAATTCGTGCCACTCAACACAGCTGCAATGGCGTCCAACTCCTTTTGCCAGGAATCCGAATCCACCGTGATACGAACAAACTTGTCCTTATTAGGCCCCTCTGCATCAACCAGGACCGATTGACCAAGTGTCATGGTTCCGGTATACAACTTATTCTTGAGCCCTTGGAGTAGTCCCGGTCCTGCGCTCCAAGACTCATTAGGATCTTCCCACACCTCCACTTTGAACTTTTTCTTCTCGCCAAAGAAAAAGTTCTTGGGGAGGAGCTTGTTTTTCATCGGCATGGGCTGCTTGGATGCCTCGGGAATGTCCGACAGACCGAGGATCAAGCCCTTGCCCAAGAGGTCATTGACTGCTTTGGGGAGGGGCTCAGAGAAGGAGACGTCGCTGGCGGAGAGATCGATATTGGGAGCCCGAACGAGCATGTGGCTGATGTGCTTCTGCTTCTCTGTACCGTAGAGATAGAACGGCATGAAATGGGCAGGGTAGTCCCTGTCTTGGTTGGCGGAATTCAGAGGCCGACTCTTGATGACTTTCTTAAAGGTCACTTCTCCAGCCTGAGCGTCAGATCTGTCTCCTGTTAGACTTGGTCTGTCAGACGATATGCGGGATGGGATTCGAACATACTCGTAGCCCTTTCTGTATATTTCCACGTCGAGCTTCACAAGCTCCCCTCTCTTGATTTGCATGGCAATGTCCTCCTTGATGTCTAATTTGTGACAAGATTTTAGAAAGATTACAGCAGAGGCATCATTCTCCACCAGGGAGCTGTAAGACCTGGCCAGTCGATTGTTCATCGTCGCCGAGAGAATAAGCTGCTGTCGTCGAGTCGCGCTGTTGAAATATGTCTGGAAGACTAGGAAAAAATCCGTGGTTTTCTCGAGAGCACGAGGCCCCTGCACGAGGAAGTGTACTGGGTGCTTGGGGGTGTTTCTTTCTCGGCACACCTTGACTTCCTCTTTGACCACCTTTTCGAATTTGTTCATGAGTTTCTCAACAAAGTCCATCTCGGTTGGGAAAGGGTTCATAACCACATTGCGCATCACAAAGAGCCCTTGGTCGCATTTCTCAACACCAATTCTCTCCATGAACGTCTGGGCGCATTTGCCGTAGTCGTCTGGCCCGAAATTGGTCGACGTCAAAAACATGGGGATTTTGGTTGGGTCAGTGTTGGCGGAAGTGACGGACAACCTGTCCGTGACTCTCTTCATCAAGTAGTTTGCTTCGTCTAGGTCATTGTTGAGGCTCTTGTCTTTATTTCGCCAGTTGATGGCAAATGCATTGATGTTGAGGTCCGACCCTAGCATCCGGAGCATGTTCACAGCTTCCGGTGACTTGATGATTTGCTGGTTGGACTTTCCTATGATGTTTGTGCGAATCCACTGTTTCTGCTTCTTCACCTCGTCTGAATCAAACTTTTTGGCGCCATTCTCTTCAGCGGGCAGCATATTGAAGGGGATGCAGGTGAAGAATTCATTGTCCATGGTGGCGTAATATGCAGAAAGCTGATAAAAATTAGCTTGGCGTTTGAGATTCCAAGGAGAGAATGGTATGTTACCCTGCCGCTGGTAAAGGCCGCTTCACCCAGCAGCATTCCGTAACCGCTGGGATTCAGACCGATGGTATGGTTCGAGAACCATGCCGACATTGCTGCTGCACCAGGCTTGCTGACGAGGAGAATAAAATCAGCAACGCCTCCCTTGATGGTTGCCGTTCAGAAACTACTTACCTTCCCTCAACGCCGTATATGCCGATGTTGTCAGATGATCCCTGCGAGAGGTAGGGGACGGACCAGGTTACCAAGTGTCGCAGTCTTCCATCTCGGTACACCAAGCTTCCTGCGGGATACGGAATGTAGCCGGCCTTATGGGGATCCACGGTAATCGAGTCGGCATGCTTCAGAGCCAAGAGATCTTCCTCGGATGTCTTCTTCAAACAGAGAGCGGGCACAAGCCTTTTGATATCAGAGGTTCCTTCTGCTGTGAAGGAAACATTGTCTTCTCCAGAAGCTGTCGCAATGTGCTTGGTTTCGACCGGACCATATTGTGTTCTGCGCAGCATGGTGGCAAAGTAGCCGCCCCAAGCTGCATCAGCGTGAATGAGAAAAGACAGACCATGTTTGTCCTGCAACTCCTTTCGCAGCTCTACGATCTTGGATAGTCTGTCCACAGCCCCTTCTTCGGTTGAGCCAATCACGGCGACAACTGCATATACAGGTGTCTGACTCTTGGCGCACTCCAGCAGTTTTTCCTCCAGCACCTGGAGGTCAACGCGGGCATCATTATCGACAGGAATGTTTATAATGGCTCCCGAGCCTAAACCAGTAATTGCTAACGGGGTCGATTAGCTCATTATCCTGTAGTCTGCTGTCTACATGGTATTGGGGTTGGCATACCTGCTCCTTTTGGCCACGAGTAGTGGTGCGTCGTTGAGATGAGATACTTGGCTTGCTTTTCCACCTTGAAGTACTTCTCGAGTGGTTCTCTACCAACGGTTTGGATATTATATGGCTTGTGCGCATCCTCTATGAACTTGCTCGAGATATCAAATTCGTCGCTGAGCTTCCTGGGAAGATCCAGAACAGTTTCAGGGCGGAGGTTGAGCAGTTCCCAAGTGCTCATTTCAACGAGGAGCTTTTCTTCAGCATCAGGCTTACAGGGCTTGACCTTGAACTTGTGGGCGACAAACTTGAGGTCTCCCTCTTTCATTGCCTGCACTAGAGCCAGGGGGTAGAATTTGAGATTTCGCGCTGTGTGCTGCAACTTTAGCATTGTTTCATCCTGAAAAGCCCAAAAGGAAGCAAGCGAAACTTCGGCGTGTACATACCAACCCACATGGATTCCAGATTCGCAACAGTGCCACCGGAGGTGATGTGACCCCAACCTACGGGGACGTTGGAGGATGGGGATTTTGGAATCTCCGTGTTGTAGCCAAATAGAGTGCACAGCTGTTGTCCAACCTTCAGCTCTACCAAGGTCGTAATTGGACTTGCTTCAAGTGCGACGTTGTTGGGATTATACAACATGGTCATGAAATACCCTAGCAATGCTGGCATGGTCAAGTCCATACACATATGGGCCTCGTACCGCGGCGACCAGAACGGCACGGAGTGCTCGCCCAAGAGCTGGGCGGCTTTGCGCACGGCATGGCTCAGATTATCTCTGATCTGCTGAAACTCTGGCGAGCGCCTGACTCTGGCAGTGATGAACTTCTATAGATAGTCGTTAGTGGGGGGAAATAAATCTCGTGAGTAGGTTTTTCTTTGGGCAAAGTACCTCATCCTCGGAGAAATAATTAAGCCTGGCCTCGAGCAGCTCATCCAAAATGGTGTTGATATTTGCTCTAAAGTCAGGCAGATTTGAACCCTTTGGGCCGATAAAATAAGAGAGAACAGCATTCTGCTCTTCTGAATCTTCTTGCGACATGTTGGCCACGCAATGAGTCCTCTAGACTAAACGATGCGTTATTGATATAGATTCGTTATCAACAGGCACGAACAACCACATCACGAAGTAAATGCATTAGCCAAGCTGCTTTATATTCATATCGGCACCACCTCATATATTTCTTTTTGGAGCAATAGAACAATGATTGATGATGACGGATGCAACCATAATTCTCCTCTTAACCCAAAGTGCATCTGACATCATGCGTTGCATTGCGAAGCGGTAAATGCGTCACTGGATATCCTACACTTTAACCCCTGTTTGATGAGCCACCCGTGACTTTATGGGGGTTATATAATTAATAAGAAATATAAGTTATAAAGAGGAGGTGGGGGGAGTAAGTACCTGATTTTGTAAGAGGAAAAATATAAGTGATCATGTTCTTTTCCAGGGTTCGCTAATATCCTTGCTAATTACTTAATAATAACCCATTTAACAACCTGTATTACTGATATAGTAGGGGCCCCTTACTCTATTCTCTATTAACCTTGTTAGTTCACGGGTGGTTAATCAAGCAGGGGTTAGATTGTACGTTGGACAACATCAATGACTTGATCGATGTTACCTCCATGCAGATTTATCACATTACTGAGGAGAACCTGCATATTGCGGGCCTTGTTCATGCAACGGAACGTGCTCCGCGTCACTGGGGGATATGCCATGTTGGACGGATGTAGCAACTTGCATATTAGTGCAGACAAAAGAACCAAGCTGAACGCCACCATGGACGGGGATGACGCTCCTTCAGCTGTGGTACTACCTCCCGATGTTTGTTGCATCATCAATACCGCAACTCATATATCTACTGACAAATATCAATCGGACCAGTTTGGATACCCCGGCCGGATCCGATAGTATGGACGAAAATTCTATCCTTCTGTATGTCGTACTTCCGTCCTTTCTTTACCCCGAGCCAGTATTAGACATGTCTACATGGTGCCCCTAGAACAAATGTCCAAAATGGCAACATAGTCGGGGGTTGAAAGCCAATATAGTTACCAGACGCTCATATTGAGATTTATTATGAACCACATGTCCATTTTAGTGGACCACATGAGAATTTGCTTCCTCATACTGCAGTAGATCTCATATTATTCAAAGCTGCCGTTGCAAGCGGTAAAGACACTATTATAGGAAACTGCAGGGAAGCCGCAGACGTGAATCTCCCCGTCTCCGGTGAGGCATGAATAGGTGTACGGATGAGCCGTCTTGAAAAGGTCGCGCGACCTTCGTATGATGCAGCATTTCATACGTAGTTTTCATCATTTAACTTATTATTAAATAGAAAAGCCCTCAATTTAGATCAATAGAAGGAGCGAGTAATATAACTAGAATTTGGAACTAGAAACTAAATTTATCTTTTTTTATCTTTTACTTATTGTCCAAGACCTTGTTTTCAGTACTACAATACTCATCTCCACAGACTTGTTGACTATGCGTATTAAGGAAATCTCAATGTTCTAAGCGAGCTAAGTGTTGGCAGCCAACTGGCTCATGACCATTTACCAACCATCCTCTAGGCAGGTAGACGCGATTTTTGTACTCCCGCAAGCTTCTCTTTCGCATCTTCAAGCGAACAAACGAAACATAAATGCTAGTCGACATCGCCATCGAAAATGAAACCCCCACCACGACCTGACTCGTCGACCACTTCGTCACGCAACTTGTTCAATTCGCTGCTCATGGACTCTGAGCTGGCGTTTTCGCGAAGGCCTTCAAAATCAAATTGTTTCACATCTTCTTTAGTGATGAGAAAATTATATCGGTCCGCATCCTTATGCACAAGGCTCAGCTTGTGAAGTCATCAAGGCAGATTTACGGATACTCAGATCGTCGAGAGAGACGGAGCGTCTTTCGATCGTCTCCGGTACAAGGCCTATGACGCGCATTCTCGCGGACATGGTCGAGGAAGCTCGGGGCCAGACGCGAATCACCAAGCAGCTGATATGCCCTGGCTTCCTGTTCCATGAGAGGCAGCTCCCACTTAAATCGGGCGATTTTGGCGATTACGGTGGTGGACGATGAGGGACAGTGCTAGGAAGGCTAGAATTTATGACGGCTTCGAAAAGCATGGCCGTGACCTGCCCGGTCTTTTCCAATTCTAGGCAATCCAGCGGGGTATAATGGCACAAATTCTTGACGCTAGCTAATGGCTGATTTGAGATGGTCATTTTCAGCTCACCGCTGGCTTTGTCTCGTAAGATGTGGGCGACGGTCCATTCCTCGTTATAGGAAAGAGGGGGGAGAGAGTCGGGGAGATGAAAGTACGCCCCCGGGAAATGTTACAGGTGATATGACAAGATACTTGACTTGCTTCTAGCAGTCGATATTGGCTTTCAAAAGAACATTGTCCACTTCCATTGACAGGATTATATGTTTGAAAGCTTAGAGATGTGTCTACTTTTGATCATCTCTATGTTAACGGAGTGTAAGGGGGTATAGTTGCGGTTCAACTAGAGCGCGTTCTTTTTGTGATACTCTATTACTGGCGCAAGCGCTAGACACCCAAGGCGCCATGACAATTCATTGTCTAATAGTGTTACACGAATTAGGTTAAGCAAGGATTAAAAGCCCTTTATTACACAAAGAGATCACGAGAACTATAGGGCATACTAGGCACGGGCCGTTCCTTTTATATATATAAGATAATCTCCCCTTACCCTTTAGCTTAAAGAAACTAAGAACCTTTAATATTCTATAAGATTATTATTAAATTAAGCTCTTTTACTTTAAGCTCTCTATTAAGCTCTTATTATAAATAATCTTATACCCTTAAAGATAAGCCTTTTATTTATAGTTACTTAACTTACTTTATAATATCTCTTAACCTTTTACTATTAATTCCTCTCTTATAAGTAAGGCCTTAAAGAAAGCCTTATAGGAATTATTATTAAAAGAATTATTATTATTCTTATTCTTAAAACGCTTTAATATTATAAAAGCTTTTTAAGAATAATCTTATACTCTTTAAAAAGTCTATAATAGTTTATCTTATAAAAGCGTAGGTATTTATTACTTCTTAAATTACTTCTTTACTTTCTTTTTAATTAATATTATTATTAATTAAAATACCTATTATACTTTTAATAATAATAATAAGAATTATAACTTTAAGTTAAGAGATTATTACTTTATACCTTTTAAATTTACTTAACTATTATTATTAAAGGTACTTAACTTACTTATATTATTCTTCTCTTAAAATAAAGAAAAATATTTTACTTTAAAACCTTAAGCTAAGCTTTATCTTAAAGTTATAGTATTTATTAAC